GCCCTCCTCTCACCATCTGATCCACCTCATCAACCCCATCCGATTGCTCTCACCACCACACCAGCACCCCTACCACCACCACTCCTGCTCGCCCTCTTCTCACCATCTGATCCACCTTATCAACCCTATCCAATTGCTCTTACCACCACACCAGCACCCCTACCACCACCACTCCTGCTCGCCCTCTTCTCACCATCTGATCCACCTTATTAACCCTATCCAATTGCTCTTACCACCACACCATCACCCCTACTATCACCTCTCCTGCTCGCCCTCCTCTCACCATCTGATCCACCTCATCAACCCCATCCGATTGCTCTCACCAGCACACAAGCACCCCTACTACCATCACTCCTGCAGGGCCTCCTCTTACCATCTGATCAACATCATCAACCCCATGCCTCTGCTCTCACCCCAAACCTGCACCCCCTACTACCACCACTCCTGTAGGGCCTGCTCTCACCATCTGATCCAACTATCAACTTCATTCTTCTGTTATCACCACCACCGCTCCTGAAAGCCCCTCCATCCTGACAATGACACCTGTGCATGCTTGTCATTGTTCTAAATGCTATACCTACACAAGCCACTCCCCTTCCCTCAGAAAACTGCATCTGTACATGCTCACCCATACCTACTCTCACCACCACGCCTTTCCCCTCCACTTACCAATGTGCCTTAACTACCACCACCTTGCCTGTAGGTCCATCTCTCACCTTGTGCCTGCATAAAGCTTCACCCACAACACCACCTGCTCCCCCAGTACCAAAACTGTGCACCCCCATTTAGAACTGCACCTATTACCCCTCTCTCACACTTACCTCTACATTCACTCAATGCCCCAATCTGCTTTCATCCTGGGCCTGCTGGAACCCAATGCCCCTGAACCGACTCTTCCATCCCTGCTCTCATCACCATTCCTGCAAACCCTTCCCCATGCTCTCGCCACCCCAATATTGCCCATGCATCTGTAGGCAGTAACACTGAGACCCTACTTCCATTTTCCCTAAGATAGCCGAAGCAATGCAGACTGAGGAAGACATGAGTCCTCTACTTCCTCCTCTTTCTGTCTGAATATACCCGGAAGTTAAAAACTTACTAAGCGATCTTGGAAGCTTTGGTAGTGGACTTGGGCCTGTTCACATCTCCACATTGTGGCAATGTGGTGTAAAGCACATTTTCCCATGCATTACTACCATGCAGAATACCATGGGAATCACAGTTCCAATCATTTGGAATGGCACCCATATGCACTACTATAGACTGTGCACTCTGCAAAGGCATTTGCTCTAGAGCTCAGGTGTCAAACTGGTGGTCCTCCAGCTGTGCCAAACTACAAGTCCCATGAGGCATTGCAAGATTGACAGTTACAAACATGACTCCCAAAGGCAGAGGCATGATGGGACTTGTAGTTTGGCACAGCTGGAGGACCGCCAGTTTGACAGCCCTACTCTAGAGCACATATACTTGCAAGGTGAACAGTATATTTGCCTTTAGTAAATCATCCCCATTGCACACTCCATATGTTGGGTGCGCTGCATCAACAAATAACAGTCCTATCCTTTTTTTAAGGTGCACTGCCAGCTAACTCAAAATAAATTGGCTGCCATAATGTCTTAGCACATGAAAATGAGTTGCGTTAATGCCCATTAGTTAACATAGGGGTTGATTTACTAAAGGCAAATAGACTGTGCACTTTGCAAAGTGTAATTGCATTCTGCAGGTGCAGTTGCTCCAGAGCTTAGTAAATGAGGTAACAGGGGTGGACTGACCATTTGGAAACTCGGGCACTGCCAGAGGGCCCAGGGTCAGAAGGGGGCCCCATGAGATGCCCCTGGTACCTTTTTCATAGGCTTTTTTTTAGTTTGGGCAAGGATACAGGGGCCCCATGATCCTCTATTGCCCGGGGGCCCCATGAATTGTCAGTCCGCCCCTGGGTAAAGGTTTACTTTGCAAAGAATACCCAATCATGTGCAAGCAAAATTTTAAAAATAGCATTTTTGCTTGCACATGATTGGATAGAAGTCAGCAGAACTTCTGCTCATTTACTAAGTTTTGGAGCAATTGCATCCGCAGAGTGCAACCCCACTTTGCACAGTGCACAGTTGCCTTTGGTGAATCAACACCAGAGTGTGATTGAGCTACTGGGGTGGTGGGGGTTGGTCACACAGGTAAGTACACAGTGCTTATGGTCCCTCTTTAAGGCTCCGTTCCCACCAATACGTTTTTTTTAGTGCTTTTTGCTTTTGCAGAAACGCACTACAGTCCATTTAACATGCTTTCCTATGGAACATGTTCACAATGTTTTTTTTGAGCTGCTGCATTTTTGGAAAGGGTCGGGGACTATTTTAAAACCAAAAAGCAGCGTTTTTGCTACAATAGAGTTCAATGGAGAAGCTCCTGAAATGCAAGGTAATGCTGCATTTTGTAATTTTCATTTTTATTCTGCCCAGCAACAAAAAAATTCCACTTTAACTAAAAACAAACAAAACCGCAAAACACGGTAAAAACGCATTACAAACGCGTGTAGAAAACACAAAAGGAACTGCAAAATGGATAAAATCAAACTGCATAGGTGTGAATGGAGCCTTAAAGTAAACCTATTATTCTGCATAGAAAGAACAAAGGATGGGTTTACTTTGATTGTAGAAGGAAACCAGATTGTTATAGTGGCTTAGATTTCCTCCTATAAACTGCCTTGTGTCCTTTTCAGATGCTGATGAAATCCTGAACAGCACAGAGCTGAATGCTAATTGCAGGGTGAAACGCGGCATCAGGTGGCCTGTTATCTTGTAATTACTGTGTCCTCTGCAATGGGGAATTCCTGAATAAACACAGCACAGAGAGCACGCAGCATGATGAGAAGTCCCAGAAATAAACAGCACTGATTATTTTTATGTCTTCTTAGCACAGATGATACACCTACTGTATCTTGTCTTACAAAAAACACTTCTTGACCTATTCAGGAATGTGAAGAGCAATCTGACATTCATTTTCATCTTCTGTTTTGGCGTGGGTGTTGCAGCACTGGAAATCTCCACGTACAAATTTTTAGCACAGCTACCTTTTTTGTTGCCTGTGTTATATTTATGCCACACCGGAAAAAGCAAATAATCACACCTCAAAAATAATAGCTACTTGATAAACCTTAAATGAACCCTTTCAGGTCTCCAAGTAAATAAAATCATCAGTTTCCTACAGTAGCAGGCAGGTGCGGACTGACCATTTGGAAACTCGGGCACTGCCCGAGGGCCCGGGGTCAGTAGGGGGCCCCATGAGATGCCCCTGGTACATTTTTCATAGGCTTTTTTGAGTTTGGGCATGGACACAGAGGCCCCATGATCCCCTATTGCCCGGGGGGCCCCATGAGTTGTCAGTCCGCCCCTGGTAGCAGGTATTATATCTGTGTCTTCTCTCTCCTCTCCGTTCTGGGCATTGCAGCCGCCACCTTTCTTGTAGGCGTTTTCACACTTGTGGTTTGTGGGCGGTAAAACTGAGATGCATTTTTTTTACTGACCCCAACTACTCCCCCTTAAGCTAGATTTAGTATGTGAGCATAAACCCTCACTCCTCTAAAGAGCATTCCACGTTTGGATTGATTTTCAGAGGAGATTGACAGGCGTGATGAGGTGATGTGTTGCCCCTTCACTGCACTGAACAAACACAGGATTTCCCAGCAACACTAACCAGCCAGCCTGCAAAACAACCAATTAGTCCCTGTCAAACTGTAAAATTTCTAGAGCCTCCATAGTAAGAGCACATATGTCAATGGATAGGTTAAGGGAAGGTGTACCTGGAGGAGCCCATCCCTCCTTAAAGGTACAGGGACGCATGTGAAGTCCAGCCATACCAAAATGACAGGAAAGGCATCCAGTGCGTCCCTGCCCTTAACTTATCCATTGATATATGTGCTCCTACTATGGAGGCTCTGGAAATTTTAGAGCTAGGACCACAGTATACAGAGGACCCTTGATGCGGGACTATGGTTTGCACACATTTGCAAATACTCTGTTTTTAACACAAACTGTTAGACATAACCAATTTGGTCATTTTGCAGGCTGACTGGTAAGTGTTGCTGGGAAATTTTTTGTTTGTTGGCGATGTGCATTGCCCTTCCATGTGCACCTTACTGCTAAGGCTGGTTATAGGTTGGTACGTTGCCATTTTTTGGTGTAGTTAAACGCCATTTTTGCCAAAATGCACCACAACAGCATGCATTGCAATAATAAGTGCACATTTTTTATTAACCAATCTGGGCACATTTTTTCATTTCTTTTTTCTGCACAAAGTGGACTATGCCTTAAAGAGTATGTATAGCCCAAGCTTTTTTTTGGGTAGAGCATAGAAAGGTTAAGACCTCTACCAGGTTATCTTTTTGCTGTCTGTACCATTTGAGGAATTTCCCTTTACTTCCTCTCCCATGCTAAGGGCATTCCCCTCAAAAACACTTGTCCCCAGAACAGGTACCCCATTGGAGGATTTGAAGATTTTCCCTTACCTCTTGTTCCATGGACAGCCCTAAAATATTGAATTTCCCCTCACTTTTTCAGTGACAATGCTTACCAGTACAGTTAGAGGGGGGAATCTTCCTAATAGGAACACAAACAAGAAAAACTTGACAGAAAGTCTAACAATTCCTCACTGTATCCAAAAATCGAAATAAAGGCTTTACCTAGAGATATCCTATTAACCAAATGGCTGGTGATCATGTCTTTGGGTTTTCTCAGATGCTGGTAAGGTGGACCTATACCAAGTTACTAATGTTCTCCCATCCTTCCTTCTCCATGTCCAGAGCTGGCCTTACAAGTCTAAGAAGCATGGTCACATTATACTTGGTCAAAAGACCTCTCTCTAAGGTCTCTACATGAAGGTTTACCACCATTGGGAATTTTAGGGCAGGTTATAGGAACATCCCATTTGTGTAGACAGGTACAAAGGCAGACTAACTGGTAGACAAGCCGATATAAATAGTATTCATAATTGCAATTATAATCTCTTACCTTCGAGCACCACCATAGAATAATCCTGGGCCGACATCCGATCTTTGCGCACAAAGCACTGGTAAGCTCCGCTGTCACTTTTTGTCACTGCATCCATTATTAGGGTTTCACGACTAATACCAATTATCCTAACATTGTTTCCAGCAATCACAATATCACCGTTCCTGTACCAGGTAATGTCAGGATCATCTGTACCAGAAGCGCTGCATGACAATGTGACCTGACTGCCGACACTGGTCTTCACCTTCCGTGGACTGATTGTCACCTTCAGGGGTTCTGCAATGAAAACAGAAAGTGTTCATTGATGGGGCACTATAGTGGTTAACTGTTTTGCTGCTGAAGGAAAACATAATAAAATGCAGCATTTGCATACATAATACCGTCGTATTTTGGGACATTTTAGGAATCCACTCATTCATACAGAATAGTAAAGTCCAATTTAAGGTGAAAATGTGTCCAGACCAAGCAGTAAAAGCACTTTAAGAAAAGCACTCATTTACATGTGTAGCTATAGGCATTGATGAGAAGTTCATCTTCAAACTTCACAGCACAAGCACTAAAACCTTGTTATTTTCTAGAGAGAGCAGATCTTGGCAGCCTGTTAATGTAAACAAACAACAGGTGTTTTTAAGCTGTTAGAAGTGGACAATAGAGTCTTTGTTGTGATCTTTGAGAATTAACTACTTCAGAGTACATGCAGCTAGGAAGGTTAATGTTTGTTTGTTTTAAAGCAGTTTTACTGCTTTGCCTTCCTCTGGATCAACTGTGGATATAGGATTGTGCATATAGGACGGTGCGTATATATACAGTGTATACACTCACTGGCCACTTTATTAGATATACCTTGCTAGTACCAAGAAAATATCACCCACACCATTACACCACCGCCAGCCTGAACCTTTGATTCAAGGAAGAATGGATCCATACTTTCATGGTGTTTATGCCAAGTTCTGGCCCTACCATTTGAATGTCTCAGCTGAAATCGAATGCCCATTCTCCTCTGACCTCTGACATCAATAAGGTATATTCGTCCACACAACTGCTCACTGGATATTTTCTCTATTTCTGACCATTCTTCTGTAAAATTACAGAAGATAAGCAGTTTTTTGAAATACTCAGACCAGCCAGCCTGGCACTAACAACCATGCCACGTTCAAAGTTAATTAAATCTCCTTTCATTCCCATTCTGATGCTTGGTTTGAACTTCAGAAAGTCGTCTTCACCATGTCTGGATGCCTAAATGCATGGAGTTGCTGCCATGTGATTGGCTGATTAGCAATTTATGTTACCAAGCAATTGAACAGGTCTACCTAATAGTGGCTGGTGTGTGTATATTATTTTTTTCTTTATTTGATTCCCTATTAATAGTTGCACTAAATGAACATGTGTCTTTTTTCAACCAGACTAACTATAACTATGTAACTATATATGCATAATAGAAATTTGTAGATCTTTTAATGTCTTTTTTCTGAGCACAGGTGCACCGTAGGGCTGTAGCAATTCAACTACTGTTGGACACTTATAGATTTCTATCTATAAGCCACAATACGTAAAGAATTCTCTCATGTGTAGTTAAAAAAAATAAGTAACATTTAAAAAAACAATGTGATTCATAGCTGCCTGAGAATTAAGCTGGTAGCTCATTATAGCATATAAGCAGTGGAAATGTAGCATTGCTCCCAACTGCCCCTTATTTGAAAGGACTGCTCCCGTCTTGGAACAAAATCCTCCTGCCACTCATTCCTCCTCAGATGTCCATCTTTTATTTTTGCAGTATGTACAGCTCTGTATAAATACATGTACTGTTTCATGAATACCAACTGTCCTGGATTTTCCTGGACAGTCCCACATCTCGGACCTCTATCCCAATAATGCTGTGGCAAGGGCTGTGTCCTGGGATTAGACATGTGCCTTTCAGTACAAATTGATTTTTGAACAAAAATCTGATTTAGAAGAGTCGGATGTAGATCTATGTGAATCTCCGAATGGATATAGTAACAAATGTCAACGAATCCAAAAAAAATGCTAACAAAATTATTGAATGCATTTGTTTCATTCGGATGACGTCTCATTTTGCAGTAATAGTTTGGGCCCATGAGGAAAGGAATTACATTTTTGAAATTTGTTTTGATAATTCAGATTCAAGTAAATTTGTGATTTAAATTGCATTTGTAATTGTAACAGTCAGTAAGCAGTCAGTTCAGTTCCATAGTTTAATGCAATTCTTAGGTTTGAAAAATTCAGGGCCACTGAATTTTGCATTATATTTTCCTTCTGATGTGTCCAAAAATATCGAATCGTTTCAATAGATGCATAAAGAATCCACCCCGAATAACAGAACTGAAAAGCAAAATGTTGCTAAAAAACTTCAAAATTTTCAAGTCTTCCTAGACCAACAAATATATGAAACAAATGCCAAAGATACTAAATGAATTCCGAAAACAAATTGGTTTAACATAATGAATATGACAAAACAAAATTCTTCAATTAATGAATGCATCCAAAACAAAACAAAAATTTTCAGTGTGCACATATCAAGTCGGGATCACAGCATGGCTCTTATTTGAATTACTGATCAAGTGTGGTAACTTGAAATAACTGATGGGATCGTGGCTGCGAGTGGATGGTTCCTACCGGGGCGGACTGACAACTCATGGAGCCCCCAGGCAATAGGGGATCATGGGGCCCCTGTGTCCTTGCACAAACTCAAAAAAGCCTATGAAAAAGGTACCAAGGGCATCTCATGGGGCCCCTTACTGACCCCGGGCCCTTGGGCAGTGCTCGAGTTTCCAAATGGTCAGTCCGCCCCTTTTTCCTACATATTTATGGACATAACAGTGCTAGAAAGTAGGAGTGTGGCCACCCAGAAAGTGGCCATGGGAAAGGTGGGCCATAGATGAGGTTGACAGTGTCTTGGTAATGGGACTAATATTGGGCAGATAACTTGTTTTCTTTATGGAGACATTGGGAGTCTAATAGAACCCATTGTCTGCCCTGCTCTCCATAGCATATAACCAAGTATAGAGCATGAGAATGGAGGCTCTAAAACTGGAAGTGACACCAAACTGTCTGAACAGTAAAAGTGATCAGCGGCTATACAGCTGCTGATCACTTTCACTTTCCAGCTTGACGCCGAGTGAGAAAAAAAAATGGCACAAGCTGATGGCTGCTACTGCAGCCATTAGCTTGTGCTTAATCCTTCACTCTTTCGAGGTACTATGTACCTCCAAAGAGCTGAACTAGCTAGAAGGCTGAAAGCAGCTATGACTGGATTGTGTACTGAGTGGTACTAATGTTTAGGGCAATAGGCACCCAGAGTCAAATGCCTGGAAAACAAGAAGTCTCTGTTCCAAGTATTCATCCTTGGACCCAAAATACCCCTAAATCCAAAATTTTGAGTTGTCCCCAGAAAAGTAATGGAGGGGAAATATTCCAATTCTGGTGACCTGGGGGTCCCTATGGAATTCCCTGAATTCCTCTCACTTCCTGTTTGGCTATGGGACAGAAAGTGAAGGTAAATCTCACCAAATGGGACAAAGATGGCAAAAAAAAACTTACAGGGGTTATAACCCTCCCTTACTCTATCCAAAATGAAAATAAAGTTTTGCTTATAGTTCTACTTGCTGTTAGCAGTACTTTCCAGCGCAGGAAAATAAAATGAGATAAACAATGTCTTCAATGTTGTGCAATATCCTTCAGTTTGAGGGGGTTGACCTGCACTTTGCTACTCAAGCCAATTCAGAAGCCTGCCAGAATGCATATATATATTGCAAGTCAATGCAAGCTACATTAGCCTATGCATTCTATTGTGGACGAGCCCTGAGAGTTAACAATATGAGACATAGAAAGTAAACAAGATCCGGGGCCCGCTGGGACATAACTATATAGATATTAGTGCAGATCTATCTGGAGAGTAATTATAGACCCAGACACATCTGTTCTTCCCAAGCCCCAGAGGATTTACAGCCACCATGATGACACAATGTCTCAGGTGCACTGGAGAACCTATGGAAAACATACACTCTGAGAAGGTTTAGCTATTATAAAGGATATTCAATGTCCTTAAAGTGAACTAAGTGAAATAATTCTTTGAGTAATGAGGAGCACTGGATCACTCAATGTGTAAATAAAAGGACTGTGTATTTTTTATATTCGTGATGACTAGCAGCTCTGGTTGTCCTGGTTGTCCTATTACTTCTGTAGAGGGTCCAAATATGGATAAAGGATAGAAGCTTAAGAATGATATTTTATTTGAGATTGCCCCAGACAAACCAACACATTTCAGGTTGATGTAAATATCCTCCTTCTTCAATGTTGAATGAGCTCAAGAAAACGGGACTTGGACAGGATAATATCATAAGAAGCACAGGTGATCTATTGCCCATGGTCATGTTAGAAGTCTTACATCATTATTATTATTATTATACAGGATTTATGTAGTGCCAACAGTTTGCGCAACACTTTACAATATAAAGGGAGACAGTACAGTTACAGTATATTAAAAATACTAAAAGGTTAAGATGGCCCTACTCATAATAGCTTACAACCTAATAGGGTGGGGCAAGTGGTACAAAAGGTAATAGCTGTGAGGGATGAACTGATTGAGGAGTTAAAAGTTCAGTAGTTAGTTAGAGGTGGGATAGGCTTCTTTTGAAGAGATGAGTTTTCAGGGATCGCCTAAAGGTGGCCAGAGTAGGAGATAGCTGAATAGATAAGGGTAGAGAGTTCCAGAGGATCGGAGAGACTCTGGAGAAGTCCTGGAGATGAGCATGGGAGGAGGAGACAAGAGAGCTAGAGAGCAGGAGGTCTTGGGATGGGTGGAGAGGACATCATGCTTTAGCCCGGCAGCCCTGAATAAAGGAGATCTTTACAACCCCTTAAACACTTTAGCTTTTCCTTAGTGATCTAAAATAAAATATGATTCTGGACTTTATACATGGAGTGGTGCTTCCCTCCTTTATTCACTATATTTAAAGTGAACCTGTCATGAAATCAATAGTGCCATTTCTGCTTCTGAATACGCTGGTACTCTGGCTATTATGTTGACCCTTTGGTTACAATACTACCTAAGGTGCAGTCAGGATGGGGTGGTTCAAAGGGCCATTGTTCCTGAACACTTATGTACTGATGACATACAGCACCACAAAGAATCAGAAAAAAGGGGGGGGGGATAAGAGGACGCAACAAGCAGAATGATCATGAAATGAGATTAAGAAAAGCTATGAAATAAAAATGTGAAAATGAATAACCCGCTAAAGAGGTGAACAGACTTTAAA